CTGGTTCCTCCATTCAGCAATTTTCATTGGGTAGAGAAATGATACCTCTAATTTAGAATTCAATATAATTTATCATTTATAAACTCTTTTATTCTTTCAAATACTTCAATGCCTTTATGGAATTCTTCCAACTCAAGAAATTGGGCTATAATGAAAACAAAACTGAGCAATTCTGCAAAATCTCAAACTTCTATCAAGGACAAGATATCTAGAATTAAAATACCCAACGTAGTGAAACCAGGAACTGTCCATTGTGAAGACTAAAAAGAAAGCTCTATTATACACAATTGCTCTAAGTTGGTACTCAGATCTAATTAAAGGGTTCCAATAGCTAGCTAGAAGAGGAATAACTAACTTTTCTAAGTTACTGACAGTGAGGTTAGGTTTCTCCTGAGATCACCAAATAGTGAACATGGAACTTGGAACTATCACCCATTCTCCAAACTTTGTGGTAAGAAGTGTTTAAAAAACATTTAGGACCATCTGAAATGGCAAGAAACAAAAGGTCCTGGGAAGAAAAAACCTCCTCCACAATGGGGGTTTACTGCACTCAACCTCTGAAGGGCAAGATAGTGCTGGATAGCAGGAAAAAGGAGGCCCTTCAGAAAATGTGTATAAACTTGTGATCCTCCAATTTTTCTGATACAGAACTATCAATAACAATCCTTAAATATCAATTTTGAGGTTATTAGATATTTTAAAAATAGCTTCCAAAAAACAATCATTAAAAAGGCTTCACTCCCCTAAAATGGCCTTGGGTGAACCACTTAAATCATACTGGTTATCTGTAAAATGGGGAACGGGTGGAGGCTTGAACTAAAGGCCTACCCTTCCAGTTCCACATCTATAGAGGATCCTAAGAACTCATGGCCAAATTGTACATCCATACAAGAGGACTCAAAACTTCATAAATTATTTCCATCGTCACATTCCTACTTCTGCAAAACTCCAAAAGAGGCAAACAGGGCTCCTCCTGAGTCCAGCTTTCTAAGAAAAAAAAACTTTATCTCAGCTCATAAAAAAGGATTTGTTGCTTAAGAGAAATTTTGTTTCTATGTTTCAAATATTTGTTTTGTTTTGTTTTTTTAATTGGCATGCAAACTTTGAAAGTCTTCGAATCAGAAGCACTCAGATGTTCAACAGCTGTAACTTCTCTAGTCTTGTGCAATTCTGAACCAAGGACAAAAACTTTAGGGAGCTCACTACCAAAGAGTCTTAGAGACAAAGGTTTGTCTTTTTCAGACCAATTAAAAGTAATCAATAGATCATGATGAAGGGACAAAGTAAAATACATAATCCAAGCAAGATAAGCTAGGCAAAGGCCAAAACATTTGATTCCTCCTAGGATGGACTCTACAAGACTTAAAAGCTGCTAGAAGGGGCCTGGGAGTTGCAATTAGTCCAACTTGAGAGATCTGGCCCTTTTACTTGGGAAGAGACCTAAAGAGATGAAGTGATTTGCAAAGGATCAAACCAGGAGTAGAAGCAGGATTTTAACCCTCTGACTCTTGATCCATCACTTTTTGCTTCGTATCAAATTGGCCCAAAGGTAAGTAAAAGTGTCTCTAATTTCTGAGGTGACTGCTTTATGAAACAGAAGAACCGGTCTGTGAAAGGCCATTAGGCACCGAAAATAAACTATCATTCTGAAAAGCCCAGCAATTCTGCCTAATTGTATGACTATTTACAATTCATTCACAATCTTTCTTATGCCTAATACCCAGCATGCTAAAGACTGAGCTTTTTAAAAACACTTTAAAAAAAACCCTTGTTATAAACTAAAAGAGTACAAACAGCCGAACATTAAGTCTCAATAACACAACCCTGCCAGGCCCTTCTGAAGGACAGTCCGTGTTCAAACACAAAACTCCATTTTAAAACGGACTTAAGTTCCATTGGGTTCTGGAGGAGGACCGTGGCTTTTGGAGACGCTATTTCCCAAGCTCGAGGTCTCCCTCCGAGGCGCTCGCTCTCGCGCCCCCTACCGGCCGGCCGCACAAGCACTGCTTATCCTCCCGGTTTGGGGGCCAAGCTTCCTCCCAGCCCTTGCCAACGTGCCAGCACCACCTTGCAAAGTTTCACCACGAGCACTCCCGCCAGGCTCGGCAGCAGAGCATGACGAGAAGGGCTCCCGCGTGCTGGGCACATCCCCCCGGAAACGGCCCCCTCTTGGGCTCCCAACGATGAGCGGCCAGCTCCTTCTGGCTTGCCTCTCAGAAATGCCACCCGGGGACACCCGTTTACTGGTAGCGCGTCAGGGCACAGCCGCTAGGCAGGGGTGGCTGGCAAGGGCCGGATCCCTGGACCGCCACCTCCCAGGGCCACCACCCAAAACGACAGTTCCCCTAAGTGGTTTTAATTAGATATTTCTCATGCGTTGTTCCCAGGGATGAGAAGCACCATCGACTTGGTCATTACTAGCGGCTCTACTGGCTCGGACCTTCAGGATTACAAGCCCCCAAAAGTACTTTAAAGGAAGACCAAGGCATTCCCGCCCAGTTTGCCCCCTCCCCAGGCCAAAATTCAAGCACGTTTAATCCCCCAAGCCCACATGGGCGCTTCCCACGAGCAGCGGAGAGCTGCCCCAGCCGGAGCGGTGGCAAATTGGACTTCGGGTTCAAACATCCTGGAAAAGTTGCCTCCCCTCCCCCCAGGGCCATCAGCCACCCTGGGATGCCGCATCCGGAAAGCTACCCGAGTCATCCTAAGGAAGCAGCTCCGGCCAGGAGAAAAGAACGCCCCCAAACCGCTCTCCTCGGGCCGTGGCCTCCTCTCCCACGCGGCCGACACACTGGGGACCCACAAGTTCCCCTCGCAGGCCGCCCGGGGGGGCAGGGAGGGGGAGGAAGAGGAGGGTCCCCCCGCCCCCACCCCATCTCCCGACTCCTAGCCCCGAGCACCGACAGCCGGCAGGGGGGAGGCGGGCGGCGCAGGCCCGCTCCCCGGCGCGAACACTCGCAGCGCGGAGTGGCGTGGCGCGCCTGATCCCCCGCGGCCGCCGCCCCTCCCGGGCCGCCAGCCCCCCTTACCTCCCCCCTCCCGCCGGCCCGGCCAACCACCGCCCCAGGCGAGCGGGCGCCGGGGAAGGGGAGGCCGCGGGACACGCCGCGGGCGGAGCCGGGCCGGGCAGGGCAGGAGGCCGCGCGGCCGCCGCTCCCCGCGTGGCCCGACCCCCCAACCGCCCCCGCCCCTCGGCCGCGGGAGCCGCCGCCGCCGCGGGGGACCCAGGCCGGGCCAGGCCGCGGCCGGGCTGGGGGAGGGGGGGGCGGGGCACGCGCCGGGCTCGCGGGGCCCCCCCCCGCGGGGCCCCGGGGCCTGTGACAGGAATCGGCTTCCAACATGGCGGACAGGAAGCGGCCCCGCGACGAGCGGAGAACATTCCAGCCGCGCCGGCCCCGGCCCGGACGGCGAGGGGAGAGGGCGGGCGGGGCGACGAGGACGAGGACGGGGGGCAGAGGGGCACTCCGGCCCCAGCGCCCCGGCCTCCGTCGCACCCCCCCCCCGCCCGCTCAGCCCCGCCGGGTCCACAGGTGGGCCGGGGCCGGGCGGCGCCGGGGGCTGCGGGGGAGGGGAGGCCTCGGCTCGGCCCGGCCCGGCAGCGCCCGCCCCGCGTGGAAGGGCAGCGGGCCCGGCGGGGCGGGGGCCCGGGAAGGTCACGCCGGCCGCCGGGCGGAAGCAGGGGCGGGAGGAACGGCGCGGCGCGGGAGGGTGTCCCCGAGCCCCGTGACCCCGGGCCCCCGCCCGGCCCCGCACCCCCCGCGCTCCCGGACCTGTTTTCTTCTTGGGCGCTTCCTGGTGCGGCGGGAGGGCGTGCTTGGGCTCATGTCTCAGCGGCTTAGGCTGGGCCTTGGGGCTGCTACCGTCGGGCCCATGCTGTAGGTACTGGTGCGGCTGCTGGTGGTGCTGGTGGTGGTGGTGGTGGTGGTTGTGGTTGTAGTAGTAATAATGGTGGTGGTGGTGATGGTGCGGCGGCGGCGCCGGGGCTGCCTGGGCCGGCGGCTGCTGCTGGGGCTGCTGCTGGGGGTGGTGGTGGTGCGGATGGTGGTGGAGGAGGCTGTGGCTGCTGCTACTGCTGCTGCTGCTGCTGCTGCTGCTGCTGCTGCTGTGCTGGGGCGGCTGCTGGGACTGCGGCGGGGGCTGAGGCTGGGGCTGGCCGGGCTTCTCCTCCATTGAAAGCGGCGGGGACTCCCTGGCTGGGGCTGCGGGCTACTGCACCGTCTCCAGATCGTCTCGGGCTGCTCTCCGGGCACACACCGTACATCTGAGTGGCTCTCGCCAGGGCACCGGCTGACTGGGGGATTCTCGGAGATTGGCAGCCGCCCTCCAGCAATCAGCGGGCCGGGCCGGGCCGGAGGCCCCGCCCCCGGGCCCGCTCCTCCCCTTCCCCCGCCCTCTCGGCGGGCCCTCCCCGGCCGAGCGCCACTTACCCGGCGCAACCTCACAGGGCTGGGCCTCCAACGTCAGCACTATGGCTCTCTCCGCCGTCGATCGCTCGGCCCGGGGCTCGGCGCCGTCCGCCAACAGCACTTTCCACACGCCTGGCCCTGCAGCTAGCTCGCGTCCGGAGCGGCAGATTCCACGAGCCGCCGCCGCGGCCGGGGGGCTGCCTGTCCGCTCTGCGGTCGCCCGCCTGGCCTGGCCGCCCAGGGACCCTGGGCGCGGGGCCGGTGGAGAGGCGAGGGCAGCAGGCCTCACCGCCAGTTGTTTTTAAAACGCCGGCGTTCCTGGAGCCCGCGGGCTGCCGGGGGTCCCCGGGCTCCTTCCGCCCTCGGGGCACGTGCCGCGCCCCGGCCCCGCACCCCGGGGGCGTGGGACCCTCCCCACTAGAGCAGGGGGCGGGCAGCGGGCCGGCGGGCAAACCCTCACCAACTTTCCCTGAAAGTCTCACTCCGGGAGGCCGAGGGGTCCGGGGCGGGGGAGGTGTCCAACCTGGGGTACGGGGGGGGGGGGCTAGTCAGCGGGGCGGGGGGGGGCTGGAGGGTGGGGAGGGGGAATAAAGAGTCCCCTTGGTCAATCTCTGTGGGTTTGGTTTCTCACCCTTTAAAAAAAAATTAGGGTTAAATAAGAGGACTGTGCTCGGTCCTATAGTGTCAATTAAAATAATCCCGTATTTATTACATAACATGTGATTATAAAAGCAAATGTGATGTCAGTACTGTAATTCCCTTTTATGAGTTCTTTCAGGATTAAGTTAGAGTTGCTCCCAGGTCAGAAAGCAACAAGTTTCTGTTTACCGGCCGGTCGTTTTGAAATTAACAGAGGGGAACCAAAAGTCTGCTCAAAAGCCAGGGTTTGGGGACGTTGTGTAAATAATTTTTTAAAAACTACCATGTGAAAAGCTGCCGTCCCCACACCAAGATGACACATGAATCAGTCATTTCCCCTGAACGAGTATTACCTCACATTCCCCGTCCACTGATGGAGAAAGAGAAGCTGATTTAGAGTTTGGGGTTATGATACTGCTGCTGTTCATTCCTTTGACTCATACCTGAGACACAAGAATTCCTGGAGTTCGACCTTGTGCTTTGGGAAAGCCCTGGGACTCCCTTCTGCATGCCTCCCTTTCCCTAACTTCCAAAGCCTGTTACCTCACTTACGATTACCTACCTGGACTTGAGGAAAGAGATTCTGCTCTGCCCTGCTCAGCTCAGCAATCTGGCCTTTTTCCACACGAAGTGCCCAAGATGAAAAATCCACTTGTCAGTCCTACATACTTAGTAAGTAGGCTTGCTGTACTTTTCCTGGGTTCTTCTGAAGTCGTTTCAAATCAGGTTTACTTGATGTTTGTAATACATAGGACATTTTCAGGTCAAGTTCCACTACAACAAAAACAAATGATTTATTTCAAAGACCCATCCATTTAGGAGGAGGATCAGTCCTCCCCATTTTGTCTAATATGTGTTGGAATTAAGGAATAATAGAGCGCTTTAAGGTCAGCAAAGTGCTTGACAAATGTCTCATTTTATCTTCACAACATCCTTGCTCCGGAGATAGGTGCTATTATTATCCCAATTTTACAAATGAGGAAATTCAGGCACAGAGAGGTTAAATGACTTACCCAGGGTCACATAGCTAGTGAGTGTCTGAGCATACATTTGAACTCAGCTCCCTCTGATTCTAGGTCCAGTGCTCATCAGAGTCCTGTGAATTCATCAAATATGTGATTTAAACAGTGATACACTTCTATACTGGATCAGCATACATGAAGAGGTCAGGAAATTGATGGCACTTTCTTTACTTTTCCACTAATAACTAATTAGTAGGTATATCTGAAATCTATCCTGTCTGAAATCTGTCTTGAAGGGAAGAGTAGTGTCTCTTATTATAATGACAACTCTATATTCTTGACTCCCCAAAATAATTAAGATTAATATATTCCCCCCACTTAATACACTTTGCCCTGAAGCTGCCTATAAATGAGGAATGTTCAACTGATAATGATGTCATGTCTGGTTGCTACTGTTTGAGAAGGAAAAAAAAGTGAGGAAAGGGGGTGGAATTTGATATTTCAACAAGTTAGTAAAACAGCTTTGACCTAACTCAAGAAACTCCAAGCTTATTCCTTCAATACCCTAGCTTCCCATAACATGTGCTTTGTCCTCTGTCCTCTGTCCGGACTGTCAATCAGTTTGACTTTTGTGGTTCTTTATTAAAACTGGAGCCACATGCTTTATTAAAAAGCATCTCAAATACTGTGACTCCATCTACCCCAGTGAGCTCAAAGCCACCAACTTTTTCCTAGATCTGCATTCTCCTATCTTGATTTAAGGTTAAAAAAAATCCAAATTTCATTCAGAGATCCTCTCTGATATTTAAAAACAGTTTTATTAATAGATGAGTATAGCTTTCAGATGTTAATTTACCTTGTGGTTTCTAAAATCTGGCAAGCAATATAGCACACTAAAAAGAGAAATTGAGATTTCCTGCTTAACATTTTTAAAAAAACAAAACTCAAAACCTTTTTCTCCTTCCTGGAGACCAAGGATGAGGTATAACACTCTTTTTCTCTCTCTTGCTGTGGGTGTCTGTTGCCTTAGACAAATCGTCTTGTGCTATTCCTAAACTTGAAAAGAATTGCAGTTCGTAAGTGGTCTCAGCAAAATTAGGACAGAAAAGGACAAGTGCTTAGCTAAGAAAAAGTACTAATTATTTTAGTGTTGGTCGTGATGGTTCTAATATTTCATGAAATCTTTAAAATGCACACAAGTTCTGTGATTTCAAAAATGTACCTTAAAATTTCTTAGTTTTAAAATTAAAATAATTTTTCACACGTCTTTTGCCTTGCATTTTATAATCTATGATTCAGTCATAAAAGACATAGGAGAGACTGCTACATTTAATGAGAAATGCCTCATGTGGTTGGCACATAATTTCCCCTCTCAGGGCCTCTGTTTCTTCAGCTGTAAAATGGTGATCTGGGGGGGGTCCCTCTTGGTTCTAACACTGGGAATAATCATCTTTCATCCCAAAGCTTGTTCTCTTCATTGTGAAATCACGTTACATCAGAGGAGTTGGCAATGCAGAGTCCAATTTTATAGCTGTAATAATTAACTTCCGTTTACACAAATTGTAATCTGGAGAGAGAGGAAAAAAAGGCCTTGTCCAAATGTATTTATGTGGAAATGAGACCTACCTCTGGTGGTGATTCCAACTTCAAAATCAGGCAAGTCACAGAACACCCCAAATCACAGAATCTCCAGTGTGAAACATCTAGTGTTTCATTTCATTACAGGTAAAAAAAAAAATTTGTTCATTTTTTTTCCTTTTAGATCTCACAGTTTTTGCCTGGAGACACAAACTTCAAAAAGACTTTTGGAGTGACCAGATGGAGATACGGAGAGTTCAGGTTAGTCTTTTGTTGAGCAGAATAAGGTGGCTTTCTGGATAGGAAAGGTTTAGATTCAAGCATCTGGCCTTTGGAGTGTCATGTCAGGAATAAAAAGCTAAATCGGCCTCCGTTGAGCTCACTCAGGTGATGGTGTTTTATGGGGTTTAACTAACAAACAGTATTTTCCAGGGGCACTGATCATGACACCACACTTAACACATTCCTGAACTCAAGAGTTCTGTCCAACTGAGCTGCTCTTTATCCTTCTTTGAACGACATTGCTGGGACCTGCACCCACATTAATGGCATCTGACCCATTATTTTTGGCAGTTGACAGTAAGATGTCTACAAAGCCTCCTACAATACAAAGGCCAAGTTGAAAAAAAAATGAATGAATGAATGAAAATAATAGTCATTAAGCAGTCTGAATCTCATAGTACTTTCTTAGGTGCTAAATGGACTTATAAAAAAAAATGGAAGTGATCAGTCTAACCTTATAGATAGAGATTAAGCTCCAATAGGGAAGGCCTGGATTCAAGTCTTGTCTCTAATACATGGTAGCAGTGTGGCCACAGACCACTTAGCCTCTTTGGATCCCAGGTGACTAAGACCGTAAGCTGCAAAGAGAATACAGATCTGCATTGGGAGGGGAGAGTTTCCCCACAGCAACTCGTCACACCCATGTAATCCCAAGTCTGAGCCAAAAAGATAGAGGATCAGATATTCAGATGTCATCTAACCCAATGCCTTCATTGTACAGAGAGGGCAACAAAGGCACAGAGAAATTAAGTAATTGCCCAAAGTCACCCAGCATTTAAGTGGTTGAATGAGGATTTGGACCCAGGGCCACCATCTCTAAGTCCATCATTTGTTCTACCATTCTGTGGAACCTCCTTTTCCTTCGAGGACTTTATATTTTAAATCAGACCAAACTACACAGACATGGTTGTGCGGTGTCCAATGCAAAAGTTATATCTGAGTGCTAATTTTCAAGGTCGAAACTCTTTCGCCTCTTTTCTATCTGTGACCTGGCCCCACCAAGTTAACATGACTAACAGTACCCTTGGCTGGGTCACTTTCTATCAGTCTGCATTTCAGTTTCCCCATCCACAGAAAGGTCTGCACCAAAGTGCTATGGGGCAGCTAGATGGAGCAGTGGATAGAGCTCTGTCCTTGATTTCAGGAGGACCTGAGTTCAAATGTGGCCTCAGATACTTGACACTAGCTGTGTGACCCTGGGCAAGTCACTTAACCCTGATTGCCTCACCAAAAAGCAAAAAAGAAAAGAAAAAGAATGAGGTAATGGCCCCAAAGTGATTTGGGGGAAGAATAGAACTCTCAATCCAAAGCAGTGTCTTGCCTGCTGAACTTCAGATTCGTGCTGTCAGGCTTTGGCTCCCTCCAATTCCGAGTCTAAAATGATACAGATCAAGAAAGTCCCCATTGGGGGCAGCTAGGTGGTACAGTGGATAGAGCACCAGCCCTGAAGTCAGGAAGACCTGAGTTCAGATTCAGCCTCAGACAGAGCACTTGATACTTACCATCTGTGTGACCCTGGGCAAGTCATTTAACCCCAATTGCCTTAAAAAAAAATTTCAAAAAGAAAGAAAGTCCCCATTGGACCCAATCATGCTGCCTGGTGGGGCCATTCCACCACAGGTAGACTTCAGTGACTTGCAGATGGCTGCTGGCCCCCCACTTGTCTCCAGGATCAGCAATCCCTGCAAGGGATGATTTGCATCAAAACAGCCTCTTGCATGGGAATGAAGTTAACCAGAATATACAATAGCAACTTTTAGCTCCAGTTCATTCTGGCCATCCCGTTAGCCGTCCATCTAGGGGCCACCAGATGGGTGAGCTTTTCCCAACATTGCACAAAAGTTCTTATTTGTGATTTCCTACCTGTGGCTAGAGAAAACTAGCCCCTAGTCTCCTGACTGAAGGATAGTACTGGTGCAGCCATGCAGGCCATGTGTTTATCTCCATATCACCATCTTTCGGAGTAGCTACTGCCCCCTAGGTCTTAAGAAAAGATATTTTTAGCCTTAATAAATCTCCATTCTGAAAACCCAGGAAGATACAGTATGGAGACGATTGTCTGGTAGAGCAGCAAGCCACCACCGCCACCACCCTGACTCTCGATGCTTCGCCAGCCTGGTCTGTTTTATTTCTGATGATCAGGGCATAAGAACATAGACTTAGAACCAGGAGGGACCAAAGAAAGGTCACCTAGACCAAGCCCCTCCTTTTACAGAGAAGAAAATGGAGGCACATGGGGTGAATCCTTTGCTAAAGCTCCCACCGACAGAGCAAGTAACAGAGCTCACTACCGAGGTCCTCTGACCCCAGCTCTCATGTTCTCTCCACTGCACCACACTGTCTCCCCCCTGTTTTTCTGTAGCTTGTTCTGGGAGATCCATTAGGATGTTCCTTTTTGCACACAAATTCAGATGATCCCCCAGAGATGGACAACATCTGCTGCCTACTCCTGCCAGAAATATGAAACTTGTTTACTGAGGCACCACCAAGTAATCCGGAGGCCTTCACTTCCATGTGAAAAAGCAGTCAAGTTAACCTCAGATCAACCAAAGATAAAGTGGTTTGGCCTGGGTTTCAGGGAGCTAGGGCTACCTTTCTCACTATCCTGGTGCTTTACACAGAATTGGCAATATTGACAAGAGCCTCCCTTCTAACCTGTACTTCACATCCTTACCCTGTCAGGACGAGGGGGCGGGCTCCAACTCAGCTATAAGCCAGGTCATACTTCCTGGCCCTTAGATTAACATGTAAGTGCTTCCTTATCATCATCATAGTTACCATTCCAATAAAGCCCTCAATTTCTTGTGTGTGTGTGTGTGTGTGTGCGCGCGCGCACACGTGCACGCACATGCGCTAGCCTGTGAGTGCCAGTCTTAGAGATTGCTTAAGGAGCTTCCATTTCTCTTCTCATAGGCTCTCTCCATAGCTCTGTGGGGTAGAAGGGACAGACCGTCCTCATTTTGTACGAGAAGCCGAAACACAAATTGTTGTTCATCCTTCGTTTCCAAAGAGGACCAGTGACATCACGGGTGATGTCTTGACTTCGGCGAATTGGATTTGTGAGGCAGAATTGTACCACTGTCTCTTCCAGAGTCATCAAAGTTAAGTGACAAGACAGAAGTCAGGATGACTGGCAATTGCCCAGGATGCAGTGGATGACCTTGGCATAGCTCTGAGCTCTTGATAGGGCCTGCTTCAGTCACCTTCATGGCCGTTGGAACAAATTGTTCTTATCCGCCCATTCCTGAGGGGAAAGCCTTCATATGTTTGAGGTAAACATCCCCTTAACTCACTGATGGGTTTGAGGCCCCTCAGTTACCCCCAACCTGGTTTAGTGCATCAGCCAAGACTGCTTTACCAGGGTGTGGCCACTGCTCATGCTAAAGCTTCTTGGAGCCACAGGTAAAGGTAAAACTGGGTAAAGGTCAACGCCAAAGGTGGATGAGTAGCCCTGAAAAGGGTTTGGCAAGCCCTCTCACCAGAAGTACTAGTCCTGCCTGAACACCCATATACCCCTGAAACACAAATAGGTTGAAGGGCTTACCTGAGACCACACAATAAATAGCCTCATAATATTAGTGTTTTGGGGGCTGGTTGATTCAGACTCTAAACTTTACGGTTATAATTAGACTTCAGATCTCCTGACTTCTACTTAAGGAGTCAAGAATGCCCTAGCTACCAGGATCCTAGGATTCTATGTCTAGAAGGGGAAGGGTCCTCAGAGGCCATCTTTTGCAGATTAAGAAACTAAGTCCCAGGGGAGTGAAATGACTTGTCTGAGGTCACACAGGAAATAAGCATCAGAGGTAGGATTGGAATTCAGATCCTCCAATTCCAGAGCCAGTGCAGTGCAAATTCCCAAGAGAATAGAGACCCACTTAAATATGTGTGTATATGTATATGTCCATATGCAATATATGGCCCTGTAGACATGTTTTGTGGGTGCTCTTTGGCTTTCTATTGCAATCATTTCTCATCCTGTTCTTCTCAGGTCTTTTTTTAGAATCACATGTTGTTATAGATCTTTAGTGTTCCGAACAGGGGGGGAAACCATATTGTAGGCCATCAGCACTTAGAGAAGGGAGTTATAGCTCCTGTTTTTACCATTTGAAAGAAATACGCATTATTGAACACCTGGAATGTACAAGGCAACCCGTAAATACAACAGTAAATTCCGTCAGGCTCTGTTTTAGCAGGGAAGGTAGCCCTTAGAGACAAAGTTTCCTAGAATACATTGAGTTGGCCTGCCAAAATCAGAGATTTCCCACTGACCATTGCTTGTTGGAATCTGTAGGCTCTTGAGGGCACCACACTGGACCAAAATATCAAAAATAGCTAATATTTATAAAGCCTTGACTATTTACAGAGTGGTTATGTGTGTTATTTAGCTTAATGCAGCAACGTTTTTTGATTTCGTTTTATGTCAGTTACACTAAATTGATTCCTTTGAGTCATCAAGCTTCTTCCTTATGAAAGACAACAGACTTCCCTAGAAAGGAATTTCCACATCATAACCAGCCTGAGAAAGAGAGACTGCTGAGAATGGATAAAAACCTAGTCAGAATTTTTTTTTTCATCTCTGTTGTCATTTGGATGGTTTTGTTCAACTGAATGAGATTGGCTTATCCTACCAAAGCATCCCCTTGAATGTCTTAGACTTGTTCTTTCATTTCCAAGGTTTGGTGTGGGCTTTTTGGAATAATCGCAGTTATGCAAATATAACTCAAGCTCCTACCTAGTCAGTCTATTATCTACCAGGGAATCAGGAACCATTAACCACTAAGCAACTTTTTAATCAATTGAATGGCAAAGTAAATAACAAAGGAATATTCTCCCCATATATAAGGGAATATACCCAACGATTCCCACAAGATTGGATGAAGCGGGCCACTTCCTGGACAACTTTTCATGATGGAAGGATGTTCTCTGAATGACTCAAGCTTCTAGAGCTTGGCCCAGTTGGAGGACCTCTCCTAATCAGCCTCTACTATGAGATCCAGCAGCTGCTTGAGTCTCCATCTACCCATGTTGGCCACTTCTCTACAAAAGCATTCTCCCCAGCATCTTAAGGGCCTTCTACTTTGAAGGGTGTGTTAGTGGTGCTCTTTTGTGAGACTGTCCTAGGCCTTAGGCTAGTCAGCCTATTTTCACTTCTTTTGTAATAAGATTCTCCCTCCCCTACCAACAGGAAGTTGAACCAAATTTCTTTAAGTTCTCATCATGCCACTGGCTGGTAGCTTCAGGGCCATGCAAATTACCTGGAGCTTTGGAGAGCTGAAGATGGACTAAGAAATTTTGGGACAGGGTAAAGTGAGCAACCTTTGCTTCAAATTCCTGAGGCCCAGGTCACTGGGTTATGTTCTACCCCAGTTTAAGAAAAACAGTCACGTCTGATACACAGGTAGAGTTTCATTAATTCAGAGTAAATGTCTTTCTCAGGCTTGGGAAGCCTTACTTAACCTGCTGAGCATACCAACATGCAGTTTCCTGTCCATCTGTATCTAGATTAAGATTCTACCCTTATGGGCCTTATATAAAATAACACCAACTATTCTGGCACAGCTGGTGGATATGGGCATTCTTGGAGCCCACTTCCTCAACTTTCCAATGCTCTTTTCTCCTTGGGTACCGAGGAGTCTTAACTCCATGTATGCTGGTGACTGTGGCTGTTTTGTGGACTAGAAGATTGTCCAGGTAGGTAGAAGATCTTAGGATCATAGAATAGACATGAGAGAGACCTTAGATACCACTTATTGAACCCCCTCATTTTACAGATGGGAAAACTGAAGCCCAGGGAAATTAAGCTACCTGCCCAAGATGATGTAGGTGGTTTCAAAGGCAGGATTTAAACCCAGGGCCATTAATCCCACAGCCAATGCTGTTTCCACTGTACCACGAGTACTTCGTATAAGATAGCTCTCCATGTGTCCATTATATTTTATTTTGGACATCAAGATTTCATAGCCCATCTTTATCACTTTTCTGGAATTCTTGAGCATCATACCATTCCTCTCTGAGGTCTTCTGAGCTGAAGCCATTTGATTTCTTAGGCAAAGGATATACTTACTTATTGTGTGTCCATAGTTCCTTCATCCTCTGAGACTCTCAAGACCGTATCATTAGCTAAACATGGCTGTGTCCCAGTATCAGCAGGTAGAGGGAAAGCTTATGGCATTGCTCTTGGTGGTGTTATGTGCATATATGGGCAATGCTGCATGTTGCTTCCAGTGAGCCGCCTTCTGCCCAGGCCTCAGCAGCCCCAACACATTTACAAGTAAGATACTCAACCTTGAAGATGGCAAGGAACGAAAATACGAGTTCCCGTGTACGTAGCACTTTAAGGGAGAAACTGTACATTCTTTATAACGATGTTCTAGACATATATCATAATGTATGTATAATGTATTATATGTATATAGGGTAAATCAAAAGCCTTAGTGTGGTTGGAGCATAAAACCTATGTATGTGGGTAATGTATGGACATTTTATATGGATATAAAATCTATGTGGATACATATATACATATACATGTGTATAATGTACCTACATTTTATTTATTTATTTTTTGGTTAGGCAATTGGGGTTAAGTGACTTGCCTAGGGTCACACATCTAGTAAGTGTCAAGCGTTTGCTCTGAGGTCGGATTTGAACTCAGGTCCTCCTGACTTCAGGGCCGGTGCTCTATCCACTGCGCCACCTAACTGCCCCCAATGTACATACGTTTTAGATATAAAATCTCTGTAGATATATATGTGTACACACACACACATATATGTGCATATATTTACGAGAGGCAGTAGTGCACTGGCCTCAAAGCCAGGACAATGTGGGTGTGAGTCCTCTCTCTGACACCACCCATGGTCACCCATGCCTGAGGGTCCTATGGGTCACTTTGTGTTGCCTCTGTCCACACGTTCTTCCTCTACCTGCCGAGTCGACTCTTAGTTCAGAATAGTCTTCCTGACTCCAGGCTGGGCACTCTGCCACTGCACCACCTAGCAGTCTAACACTTTAAATACAACGCATAAAACAATTCCTCCTTCCAAGGAGTTTACGTTCTAATGGAGAAGGCAACGAGGACAAATGTACATACAAAAAATATAAAGGAGATAAACACAAAGTAGTTTGAGAGGGAGGGCAGCTATATGAGTGGTGAGCAGGGAGGTAGGAGAGATATTGTGCAGGTAGAAAGGGCAGAGTTATCTGGGGTGAGGGAGAGAAGAGCTGAGGATAAGATGCCTTTAACAGAAGGAGAAGTTTGGGAGATTAGTGCGTTGGGGTTCTGTGGTGGACATGTTGAGTCTCCAAGAAATACAGTTGGAAATGTCCAATAGACAGTTGGAAGCTGGGTCCTGAAGCTCAGGAGAGAGTCTGGGACTGAATCTATAGATCTAGGAGTCCTCAGCAGAAAAATGCTTATTACGTGGAAGCTGATGTGCTCACTGAGAGAGAGCGTATACAGAGAGAACAGGGGCCCAAAACAGTCTTCAGGGACAACCAGTGTTGAGGGGCACATCTGGGTGATGAACCATCAGAGGAGATGGAGGAGCAGCTAGACAGGTTGGAGAGCTGTGAGAAAAGAAAGACTTCAGGAGAGAGTGGTAAACGGTGTCGGCAGAGAAGTGGAAGAGGAGGAGGACTGGAAAAAAAAAGAGACTATCCATTTGGTAGGAGATATGAATCTAGAACCCAGCTGAGGGTGTTCTTAAGCTTTATTGTTTTGAGAATCATCTGTATAAAGGTGGTAGCTGAAGCCATGGGCATAGATGAGATCACCAAGACAGAGAAGAGGCCAAGCGTAAACGATAGGTCCCTTCTTTGCCCCAACCTTTAACTGGCTCCCCACTGTCTGAAGAGCAAAGGTCAGCCAGGGATTCAAGGCCCGCCACTATCTGACTCCACCCTGTTTTTCCAACTTATCTCATACTTCTCCTTTTTAGGTGTCATTCTCAGTGGCTGTCCAATTGGAATACTCATGAACCCAGGAGAGGCTTTCCTGCCTCTCCAGCTTTATTCACATTATTCCTCATGCTTAGAATCCCCCTTCCTGCCCAGC